GCTCACAACCTTACACGTTACGCCGACGTAACAGTACATTGCTAAAGTTGATATAATACATATTTTTATATTTCTTTTTTGTTACTCCTCCCTACGCACTGTTTCAATCTTATAGACGCACAAGAAATAAGTTCGTATAGAGCAAGTATCAGTCCTGTTTATTTACGTCTTAGATCATTAGCGTGATGTACTCATGAGTTCAGCTAGTGGTCCAAAACAAAACAAATTGAAATGTTTTCACTTTATTTGCTCCCTTTTCTCAAATTTCCACTACATGTATTCATATCTAATACACAACGTATTATAAAAGTTGAGAAATTAAAAATATTTATCAGGTAAAATGTAGGTATAATTTTACTGGACTGTTAAAAAAAGTATTATAGCTCGTCCAAACAGCTATGCTTATTTACTCAGTTTGCAACTTTATAAAAAATGTTAATTAAAAATCTATTTACTTTTGTATCTAGTTAGTACTAATTATACCTGTACAAACCTAATGGAATTAGTTGAATCTCTCAACCATAACCGATTAACTAATTCATGTTACTGGCCAGCATACGTAATGGTACACCGACTTGTTAAATTAAGCCTTTAAGTATTTCTAAGATTACTTCAGTAACTTTTAAGTGTCTTAAATATAATCTTCTTATTCTGGTTTACTTGTTCTTATATACTACGACTGTGATTTATGATGTCATCTTAACTAATAAGTGAAATCAGTGTTATATTTAACTGTAAGTATAGAGTCTTCATGTAATCTATTTTCGATTGTGTATGTACAACACTGGTGACTACTATATATATATTCTTGAATGTAAAAGTCCTTACAACCCCCACTATCCCCCCACAGACCCACACTCAAACTTCACTACCCCTCACAGACCCCACATTTAATATACTTATTTTTTCGGCATGATCACTGTATCAGAGTGCCTTATAATTTTGTCAGAGCAAAAAGTGTAATTCTTGATATATCATCCATTGTTATTGAAAAAAATTTTAAAACTAGTACGAAAGTTTTGTGAGTTAGTCACAAAGTGTACGAGTGGGAGTATGTATGTGATTTGTCAAGTTTTTAATTACCTCAAGTTATTATGATTCAAATGGGCTGAAGTTATGTTCGTAATTTTGAGTTGAATATCTAAGCTGATGGTTCACATTCGAGCAAGTTTCAACGAAAGGAAAAGTTTTAACAGCATTTTCAGTACAGCATTTCAAGACGAAAAAACCAGTTTTCAGCGATTAAATTTTAGCAGTACAGAGAATTTGCCCAAGACAAGTCAAGCAGAAAACCTCGACCAAAAGAGAGTCGAGGATGGTGAAATCGATTGATTGAAACTGGCTAGTGTAGGAGGCTTTGGACCTCATATGCGGTATCAAATGGGTTGATTCTGGGATGCCGTTTTTGTGTACACGCAGAGTTGGCGTATTTGGAAGAGGTCCTGAGTCGAACCAGGAAAGCGATCATCGAATAGAAAAGCTTGGTTTCTAGGTCATGTCCTTGCATTATTCGGGGCCGCCACTCAGGTTCAAGCACGTGATGGTTCGCAAATTCGAGAAAATCCTCTTTCCAGTCCAACACACTAGAGAGAGGGGAGACAATATCCCTTTTTCCTCCTGTCTCTCTTAACATCTGGCATTTCTTATAACGAAAGTTATTGGTAAAGAAGTGCTAGTAATTAATAAAAGAGCGATCACACTCAGTTAACAAAGAAATGAAATGGAAGTTGATTTACTTGGAACGATGATAATAACGGTAGTAATTAAAGTAATACAAATAAATGATGACAATAATAATATCAATAACAATTATATTAATAATAATAATAATAAAAATAATATGAATATTAATAATAAAGGTAAGAGTAATATTAACAAATATTATGAGTAATTATTTTTATGTTATTTATTTATATTTATGAATTATCATGTTTTCAACGTACTGTTAATATTCTTCAGGGTAGGAGGGAAAGAAAAAGAGAGGCTGTTTAGTTGTTCACCGTAATAGTGGCATGGGATTGCTTATTCCAGTGCAGGAGTAAGGAGGGCACCACTGGGGGATGAGGTGAGTGGTTTCGTTATATTTTAACTAAAAACAACATTTGGTGTTTGTT